TTGTAGTTTTAACATATTTGAAGAATTGTAATGTTTCTACTTAAAAATGTGTAGGTTTGAATGGTGCTTACTTTGGGGAAAGGGTAGTTAGGAGTGCTAAAGCCATTAGAATCCCATTCCAACAGGAAAGTTGCATCTGTGCAAGTACCTGAAAAGAGCAGAGAGGTTCTTTAAGAAAGTGCTCCAGTATTTCCACATGACCTACCAAAGGGAAGGAACTCTGGTTTGCTGCCAAATTCCGAGAGCTGAGCAGTGATTAGAATTTAACTCTGGCATTGGAGAGGTTTCTTTTTTCTTTTTTTTTTTTTCCTCCTCCCTTGAATTTCTTAATGTAAAAAGTTCTGAAGCTGCCTCAACATGTCAGTTCAGGAAAGGAAAAAACAAAAACAATAACAACAGAAACGAAGGCTAATAGAGGACTTGCTTTAGGAAAGCCTCTGTTACTGTGAAGTCACAGTGTTGTGTTACGTTGCGGAGGGTTCTGCTCTCATGGTGTAGAGATGCAGACGCACATGTTGCTTCTGCAGCCACGGGCAGTACAGGGAGCCGGCAAGTAATTCTGCGGAGTCAGAACTAGCAGAAGGTCTCCCAGGGACCCACTTTAGTGATGGTGAGGGTAGAAAGCAGCGCAGGGGAGGCTCACGGCTTAAAGGTGCCACGAGTCCTCCCTTAGGGCACCCAGCTGCAGGTGAAGGAGGAACGTGCAGCTACCCAGGACAAGGCAGCACTGTCACCCAATGCTGCAGTGACAACCTTGCAGAGAAGAGAATTTCTCAGCAAGGAGTCAAGCACAATCCTATCAACAGAGGAAAGCATGGAGAGAAGGAAAGAGAAGGGAATTAATTTGAAGAGCTACCTGTAAAGGCTTTTCCACTGAACATCCTTTAAGTTTCACAGGTTGAAACACCGTGCCTGTTTCTCAGGCCTGCAGTACTGGCATTAAGGGTACTTTAGGCTGCCTAACTCCAGGGAGAGAAGAGTACACGGCTCCCTCAGACGGCTGGTTGCCAGAAAGCTTCACTGTCACAAAGCACTTGTAGCTCACGCTGTGGGCGCAGGAGTTGCAGACACCTGACCTGCTCACACTTCACAGGCTCACAGGGCAGGCAAACCTGAATCGTGTTCAGAAGCCATGAAATAACTTCATTTCGTAGTACAGCCTTAAAATCCTGATTCATCAGCAACTTCCTAAAAATTCCGAGACTAGTCTGTACGATCTCTGTAAAAAAACATCATTCAAAACAGTATTTTTCAAATTTTATCTTGATTTTTTTAAACTATCATCCATGATAAGATGCTGAAAAATAGAAAGCAGCTTAAAAGGTATGTCCCTTAACAAAACCTGTCATCAATATGTCTAAAAAATTGGCTAGTTCATTTCATAATAATCTTAAACCCTTTAATTCTTATTCTAAAGCTTCAGATTTTGAAGTGTAAAGGATAAAAATAACAAGCTGTAGCTAAAAAGTGCAGAACTGCTAACAGAAAGCATTTGAGAATGCCATTCATATCCTGCAGTCATTATTACACACACATTTGAACACCTTCATTTATACCCCCAGTCCACTCAATGCCTTCAAAAATAAACAGAGCAGCCTTGAAGGCCCAACAGGCCCTTTAAACTACCTGCACTTATTTCCTTCAGTATGAGCACCATGGGATGGCCATGAGGTCTCGCAGCTGGGAGCGGTGGTGGCTACAAGTCGGGCCAGGACACGATCCGTGGTGCTGGTTTCACTGCACAAGGGACAGGTGAGGATGTCGCCCCTACCAGGTCACCATCAGGAAACTCTGTTTCTGATTTAAATGATTTCCTGATTTCAGGAAAGAAATCAAGGAAGGCAACATCAGTAAAATTAGTTAGACCCTTACTTTCCAGATGTACGAACATAGGTGATTTTATACACTATTAACAATGGTCCATTCAAAGAATGACACCGTTACAGACCAAAATCTGCTCCAGTAGTTCTTAATCACTTTTTTTCCTCTACTTATTTCACCACATATGAAGTTGCCACTTACTCCTTTCACTCCAAAACCTTCCATTGGCACACACAGCCTGCACGTGCCAGATAGAGGTAACCTTGTAGCCACATCTGAGATGAAGGGTAGCAGACATTCTGTACAGCTAGGAGCTGAAATTAATTTCTATTACAAGCTAAAGCTCAAGTTCTTAAGAAAAGTGCAAGTGGACCTTTAATAGTGCTGGGGATCAGCCAAGACTGTACATTATGCTTCTTTTAAAAGAATCCTGCATGATAAAGCACACTGAAAAGTATGCAAGGAGACTGTCCGCAGTGTTTACTGTGTGCATGGCACTACAAGTACCCAGAGAACAAAAGGCCTGACCAGAGGAGGAGAAAAAAAAAAAAACAGTAGTCTTCCAATAACAGGATAGCAACACACAGACATGAAACAGGTCAGAAAATGGTACTTTTCCTCAACTGTGTGGGTACAGTCATGCTGTCCGTGTGATATACACGTTTTTTTTAGCAAGAGAAAGGATGGTGTGTGTAGGATACAGCAGGCCTTTGGAGGAAAAGAGCCAACTCTTATTTTGTGAGGAGGTGGAGAGCCGAAGGGGAGGAAGAAGAATTATATAAACCCTGTTTTATAAGCAAAGTTTTAAAGGTCCCTTAGCAGGCTTTAAAAAAAGATGAAGTATACTCACTGCATTCTTTCTTGCCATGGACCAAGTGGGCCAGCAAAAACAACTGACCTCAACTGTTTTAATACGGTGTTTGGTGTTACATAACCAAAGCAATCTGTCCACTGCTCTTAGGGAGCATTGGAAATGTTTAATTTTTTTTTAATAATTCTTCTGAATTTTGTTTTACCTACAGCTATTGCTAACATGAGAGATCCAAGAAAAAAATATTTACTCTTTTTACCAGTAAGAAACTCCTGACGGAACTTAACATTCAACTAATTTGGCTTTTTACCTTATAGATCTTCTTACTTGGCGTGTGTATACACACATATATACATACACACACACGGCAAGAGGTTTTTTTTTTTTTTTTTTTAAACAGAAAAAATGATGTTAAGTCTTCCATCTTTGGCTATAAACTCAAGGCAGGCATATGGCCCCAAATCCAAGCTGCTGCATACAGCGGAACTAATAAATCCCAATTCCTCACAGATTTAGGCCTTCTCTTCCTACCTTCCCCACCTCACCCCTCTTCTTGAGCCAAATGACCCAGCACCCCCTCCCCGACAGCCCCTTTCACACACAGTAGGAGCTTAGCGCTCCTATTTATATCCTCTAACTACTGCTTGAGCACAAGCAAGGGCCATGCCAAGTTCCATGTGTGCAGACTGACAGATTTTTGTTTGGCCTGTCTTGTGTACTGACTAGCCAAACTTACTTGGCAATTCTGCCTGTGCAGAGGAAATCTCTGGATCTGTCTTCTCCGCTAAGCCACTAGTTTTCATGCAACTAGTATTAACTTGATTATCTCCAAGAGCTTTCTTGACCTACTGAAGTTGGCTGAAAGAGGTAGAAGTTATTTTTGAGAAGGGGATGGGACAGGATTGACAGCACAAATACAAAAGGGAAAGCAAAAAGTAAAATCAGCACAGAATTCCCTTAAGAGCTTTGCTTAAAAGTTTCCTTCACCTAAATTCACATTCAACTAAAAAGTCTGGGGAGGTTTTGATAAGACTTTTGTCAAATTTGGAAATATCTCCCATATTGCCACTTTCACTAACAATTTCCCAGCCCAGCATAACATTACTGCAAGATATCACCTGCCTCTAAAGCAACTTGAATGTGAGCATAACATCCAAGGTTGCCTAGCATGCAGGATGCATGTTAAGTCTGCGTTCAGGTATGTTCAGGCTTTGGCCCCTGGGGTTCAGTTTAGCCTCCAGTAATGCAGCCTGCACCGTGACCACGACCTGGCTGTGCCCGGCTGAGGCCTCACCACCTACCCAGCCTACCTTGTGGAGGAGCTGAAAGGTTCAAGTCAGACAAAAAATTTGGTCGCGTAAGGACCTGGCTTTACAAGATTAATAAAATCTTTACAAAACATAAAGCATTAATGTAATTCTAAAATGATCATTGCTCTACAGCCTTGTAAGGGTTCACTTCTACAGAAACTACTTATTTTAGAAATTATAAGCTTGATCTATTTCTACTTCAAAAGATAAAGCAACTCAAGAAACTCTTAAATACCTGGAACTTCAATCTAAGCAGCAGAACGTACAGGCATCCAGTGAAAGTAACAATGAAGTAAAACAAGAAAAACAAATCCCAGTTATGTCAATCTGTTCCTTCCGTGCTGAGTAGGAAGAAGCCATTAAACCTGTCAAAGGGAGGACACTTTTCCCTGCTACTGGCAGATTAGGCATCTGCACTGCAAAAGTAACTTCCTTTTTAAGTTTCTGGGAGCCGGAGTTTAATCCTGCAAATTTAAGGGCAAAGGTTCTGCTTGGATACAGTATTCCAGCAAAGGTATATGCTGTACATCTTAACCTGGTGAGACATACAACTACTTCCCAATTCACATGAAAGAAATCAGTTAGCAGCAAAAGCAGTTTTGCTGACAAACCAATTGACTTTCTAAGCTATTGCTGGCACACCTCTGTGCACACAGAGCTCTATCAGCTTGGCTTAATTTACGCAAGACACATGCTCTGAATTCCAGAGAGGAGTTGCAGAGGCAAAGGTTGGTTGAGGACCTCCCAAGAAGGGAGGTTACCAGGGTATCTTCCACACAGTGAACTGTGTGAGCCATTTCTCACGCCCACAGCATTCGCTAATATTGTGTTCCTGTAGCAACAGCTACAGAGGTGATCTCAAAAACAAAGCAGCAATGCACAGCATAAAGCAGTCTGGATTCATGTTTATTGAAGCCAGTAATTAAAGACATGTCCTCATTTTGCCAGCACTAGAAAGCAAGATTCCACATGACTGCATACTGCACCTGGTTAAAGCCATACAACTGGACTAAGGTTTGTGTTTGATACATTTGCAGTCCTAATTGTAAGTTGGAAAAAAAAAAATAAATCAATAACCTTAGTACACATGACAGTGAACTTTCATTTACAGCATTTATATTGTTAAGTTCATGATGTACAAAGCAGTCACTTTCAATGTAGTTAAATTAAATAAAATACGAAATTCTGTTCAGTTTAAACAGCTTTTAAAACGCCAATAAAAAAAAAGTGCAAACTTAAAATCAAGCAGCATAACCATAGCATTTTTATGGAGGGCCAATCCTTAAACTTTTTAATTGCTTCAAGTTGATAATTTCATCTTTTGTTTTCTTAGTTTAAACATGAACAGTAGATGCAGTCACTATAATGCATATAAATATAGTCATATAATAGTTTAAACAGTCTACCATACAAGTGTATCTGCAAATAAAATGAAGTTTCACTTGAAAATGTAAAGGCTGTTTGCAATTTGGCCTTTGGTTCCAATGCTTGAAGACACCAGAAGAACAATTGTGCAGCTCACCAAAGCTGACAGACTTTGGCAACCACAGGATGCGATGTTACTTACAAATTTCTTTCAACAAACTAGGAGCATTCACTTGCAGTTAGAAACAAGAAATCTGTTTTGTCAGAATCATCTTTCTGCAAAATTGGTATGTTATCATACATTATTAGTTTTGATGAATTTTAGTAAATTTAACATTCTTACAAAAAAGGAAAATACTTCAATTGTAGGTTTTAGCCATACTGCTAGAGAAAGTGCTTATCACGATAAAATACCCACCCCCCAGCCCTACCCCCAAAAAAAGCAGTTTTGTACTGAGGTTTTTAAACTATATCCTATTATCCTATTGTGATCACACTTTTTCAATATTCCTGTCTTGCTTTTGATGTTTAGTCTCCAGTCTAAACTTTTAGTGTCAGAAGGACAGTATGTTATTACTTCTTCTGGTGCAGTAACTTGCAACTGGCACCCACTACACCAGGAAGTACATTCACATGGTGCTAGCCATCCGGAGGCTTAGTTTAACTGCTACCTAGACAACTATGTAACTTGAGGTCATACCTTTTATTTTAAAAAAAGTAAAAAAAATTATAATATTTTCAACAAAAAACTGGCACAAATAACATACTTATGTTAACGTTTGTCAAAGAGGCAAGTAAATACTCTTAGCTTTCTAGATAATATTTAGACAGACTTACAAGAACAGCCTCTTGATGTAACATAGGATTTGAAGTTAACAACCAGTACTGTGTTAGTGGTCAATCTAAGTCTGTGTATTTAAGTAACAATATATATTAAGGAAGTTATATCCAGACATCCGATTTAGTACAAGTTCATATCAATAAAAAGTAAACTCTGCATAATTCAAATTGTGGTTTTTCCCTTCAGCGTTAAGAGAACAGAATATGCTTGGTATTCTTAATTTATGGTAGTGTGTACATGGAAAACAAGCATACCGTATATAAAATCAAAGTGCCATTTCAGTAACCTTAGCAGTTTTGTTTGATTTTACAGAATGACAGTGTTAGGTGACCATGGACAGAACTCCACTGCAGCTACGGGGACAACTAGAACCCATCTTTCCAAATGAAATGCTACATTAAAGGAAACACAAAGTCAGTTATTGGCTCCGTGTTCATCACGTACACATTCATACCTTTTTGGGTTACCTTCAGAATTCAAGTTGGCTGCACTTGCAGCAGATGTGGTTGAAACAAGGGCCTTGAAAGTTTTTTTAAAACCTCCACAGGTATAAGGCAGGAATCAATTTAGCTTGGTAGCTAAAATTTAGTTACAAAAACTAAGAAAAAAATACCGAGTATTCTGTAGCACATTTCATTATGGGAAAATGATATGTCACCTACCATTCTTCATAGGCTAGCCTCTTGGCATAAAAAAAGGCAGAAGCTATCAGAAAACAGGACTTAAAATTAAATACAAATTGCCAAACTACCGTTTTTAAAATAAAACCAAACAGTGACTGTTTGTACTACAGTGCACAATAAGTTCAAGCACCTTCTAAAGACACATCACACACTGTGCCAGGCACTTGGATCTAAACAAGTTATAGTTTCTCCCTTTGTCAGCTACACCAGAAAGGGCATCCACACTCTTAGACCTTTTTTTAAAAAAACTAAATTAAAATAAAATAAAAATAAATTCCCATGATGTTTTGTGTTTGGCTTGGAAATCTCCAACAAAGTAGTCTTTTTAAAACAGTGATTATTTACCCTATGTGGAACACAGGATTTAAAAACATTGCTCCTCTCCAGTCACTCCAACATTCTAGCTTCTTACTGAATCAGATCCATTTCCCCTTTTAGGGATGCATTCCCCACCTAGCCTCTTTCATCTAGTTAATGCTGTTACACCACCACCACCTTTCCAGCATATTACGCATTTGCAAACATACAAGTAGCCGATTCCATTAGCTCTGAAGAAGGATTTCATTTCTCTTTCTTGCCTTGTGTGCAGTCAGTCGTAGTAGTATTTCACTAATAATTCTGCATTTTGCTTCTCTGTGCTCTTCACAACAGGAAATGCAGCTGCACTTGCTTACCTCCAAAATCAAAAGAATTGCCCTATATAAACTCTAAATGGTTATCTTATACAGAGGGATTTTATATGCAAACTTCCTGAATGTGCACTTTTTACTGGGACAAGGCAATGACATAGTAAGCTCATTTCCCCTGCCCCAAAAAACTGATAGCATCTGCCATAGCAGAAAATTCCTGGTCTTATCAGATCAATATACATAGTTATTTGGTCATTTACATATGCATTTTTAAGCGTTATCAAGCTTCATTCTCTGTTGGAGGAGAGTTTGTTGTTACCATAGAATCTGGCTTGCGAGTCATCCTGTCCAATTCCTCTTGAACATTTGTCAAAACTGTTTTTTGTCCTAAAATTAAAAAGACAAGATTTAAGTTGTCTAATACAAAGGAAATGATTTAATAAATACAAATATTTATAAAGTCATTTCAATCTGTAAATTTCTTATTTATTATTTCACCACCTAAAGAACACAGAGCATGACCCAATGCAAGGGAAGGTTATGGAAAGACTCACAAAGACTAAGACTTGATTTGCTTCCAAGAGACTAAATGCATCATTTTACAGGAGCATGAAGTATGAAAATATCTGTGATACACTTGATAGCAACTGACATTTTAAAAGCAACATTTATAATTTTCTTAAAGCAAACAAAAACCTGCACAGAAATCTACTATTAGCATAGATAATAGGCAATTTATTATAGTCTGTTTTTTAAAAATCATAAGACTTCTAAGGTACATAACACACTTGTTTCTCTCCGATTCCATCCACTCCCCTTCTCCCCCAAAACAAAAAACCAAAAGGAATCAATTTGGTTACACCCAAACTTGCTGAGTTTTAGTATCAAACAGCTAATAGGAGGAACTCTTACTACAGCAGCCAATGCTTCCCCTTGAAAAGGGGACATGAATTGCATATTCATTTAATATCTCAGAGAATTCATTTCAAAGGACTTCTTCAATTGGAAGCAGACACACCAAAGTATTTCATGCCAAGGCATATCTTACATTTTTATATTAGATTCAGAACTTTGTACTAATTCTCTAGCTGAAGTATCAGCGATTCACTTACTTTGAAGATTTTAAATCCAAGGAGAAATTAATCACCCAAATTGGAACAATATATTCTAATGCTCACAGTATGTAAGCATTTAAGATTATAAAGGTACACTTTTAGACAAAAAATAGATTATATAACCATGTACTGCTTCCTTACATAGCCAAAGAATTTAACAAGCATCTGTTTTCCAGCTCAAATGTGTGTGAAATATTAGGTGGATTTTTTCCAGGGTACATGCTGAAAACATTAAAGTAGCAAGACTCGACTTTAGAGATTTAAGTATTTTTTCCAAAGTACAAAGACATAATCAAGTTAAAAGGTTATCTTTAATCACTGAAAAGGTTTTCAATTTAAACACCAGTCATCAGCCACATTATTAATAGCATCTATTCAAAGTATACACAAAATTTAAAAATTACTACATTAACTGTAATGTACATGTATTTATAATCCTAACACAAACTGCCTTTTTTTGTAGGCTAAGCAGACTTTGAGTCAACAAACACACACAATTTCACAAAGATCCCAACAACCTTCTAACATTAAGATATCAAAAAAATCTAACAAAAGTAGGCCTAAAGGAACCCTCTTTTTCTGTGTGCTGAATGAACTGGACCCTTAAGTCTCTGAGATAATACCAAACAGCTGCCTCCTGCCAGATGCCTCCTAAAACTACCTCATTTTACAACCAAAAAACACAAACAAACAAAAAAAAAACACTAAATTGTTTTATGACAACGTAGCTTTACGTACCTACCACCATCATAGGCAAGTATCTTACAAAGAAAAAGAAATACAAGTAGCTGGTTTTGAGAAAATAAAAACTTCTCCACTGCAGATTAAATTGATATTTGCTTTCAGTTTTCCTACAGAAAGTTGACCTGGCCTTGGGCAATCAATAGTGCGTTATGTGCTCATATATACATATTACTTTCTAGATGAAGAGTGAGAGCAGGGAACCAGAGTTCACCTACTGCACAAGGAAGCTGAAGAGAAGTCTTAGAATTTGAAAGAATCGTCCTGTGACTATAACAAGTCTATGAGAAAAAAATATCCACAGCGCAACTCACTCACAACAGAAGTTCTTTAAGTATCAAGATCTCTCCATGCAGGAAAGACCAGCAGACAGGCAAGGAAAACAGGTCAAGAATTCGTCTGCTTGCAGACAGAACAGCAGCATCTGCCAAGACAAGCGAGCTCTCTCAAACTTGAGTTAACAGCAGAAACAAATCAGTTAGTCTGACTGATATACTGAGATCCACGACCACAAGGGTATCCATGGCCAGGGTAGCAATAGATGGTCTTTTTAAATATTTTTAAAGGTAGCCTCCTGAAACCTTAGGACTCTATTAAACATTTTAAACCCCTACAAGATCATTTTAGTATAGCTACTAATACAGAAGTATATATATATTGCCATAAATAAGGCTACAAAACCGTAGGTTTAGATATTTTCCTCAACTCTTTCACAAAATAAAACTATGCTTTTCTGTTATCACCAGGTATCAGCTGCCTTACAAACTTGATGAGAGTTTTTCAGATATCAGTATTAGGAGCCCTTACCTTTTTAGGAAACTTTAGTCCTATATTGGTTGAATATAAGATGTGAGAACATCAGCTGGCAAAGAATGGGCAAATTCTCTTTTAAGTGAAAGCTGACTCTTCAGTTCCATATATCAGGGATGATCACATGCTGCCAATGGGATGCAGCGAAGAAAAGCCAACTGTGATCCTGGGACCACTCGGGAAAGGTGCTTCCACCAAAGAAGTATCACTGCTGCTATAACAGGCACTACAATAAGGTATATCTGGAGTGCTGCATACAACTCTAACTCGTGTTAAGGAAAGAAGAAGCATAAAGATGAAGAAGAAACTAGCAGGCAAAATATAGCTCAATCTCTAACAGAAGACTAGAAAATAACTTTTAGTTTAAAAATAAGAAAGGATGAATGACTGCTGTTTCTAAATGTATCAGGAGCGAAATGAATGATTTAAACTAGAAGTTAATGTTAGCACAAGATATATGTATGTAGGCATATACATAGCCATTAGTTATCTTTGAAATCTCCAAAAAGGCACAAGATGTTCAAGAAGAACAAAACAGAAGAGAGTCAAGCCCACTACAGACTAGTTAGTTTTTATTCTAGTATTTTTCCAGACGCTGCAAGTACATTTAAAGGGTTTACAATGGGCCTACCAGCACAACAATCAACCTCGATCAGTTACCAACAAGTTTTGTCAACGAAATTTCTTTCTGTGATTGGGTAACGGGTCCTGTGGAGAAGGGAGAAGTAGTTGATATCACATCAGATATGACTGTCATATATATGACTACAATAAGACAGTCTTGATATTTCAGAAAATAGTGTATTGTATTTTAAAAAATAAACTTCATTAATTAGCCACAGTGCTAGGCACTATTTTACTCTGCCCAGCTGCTGAAGTTAGCAGATCTGCAGGCAAGCATCCTGGAAGGGACTACAAAAGGACTTCGAATGACAGGATTAGAGGTAAAAAGTTTTCCATCTCACTGATCAAAATGGTGCATAATGTCAGAATACAAAACAATGATAAAGGAAGAACTGCCACCTTTGGAAATACTCAGGTAATGTGATACAAGCTGAAAGACATCTTACTAGCAATCTCACTAGCAGATATTGTATTAAACTGGCTGTATTATTATAACAAGTCCTGATCAATACCATATAGATGCAAAAAGGCTAGCATCTTGCCGAGAAGTTTTGAACAGGAAAGCAATAAATAAAACATTAAGTAATCCTTACTCAGAAGTGGCAAAGTCTTGTCTGAAGTATTGTGTCCACTTTTGGCACCAAAAAGAGTGGATAGTCCAAAGAAGATTTACCAGTGCCATAAAAAATAGGCGCCATGAGGAAAGGCCAACACAATATATTTATGTAGTTGTATTTTTGTAGTCCAGATAGGAGTGGAGGGATTAAGGCTAACAGTTTTCAAGCATACAGAAGACTGCTATAAGGAGAAAGGGAGAAAGGAGATACACTGTTCTCTGTTTCCACTAGAGCAAGACAGTTAGTACTGGGACTAAGAAATGCAGAATACACAACAGGCATAATAAAAAAGAGAATAAACTAGAATACTAGAGTAGACTTTGCACATAAACCTCTTCCTCATCTCAAAACACCTCTTTGTTTCTTTCTCTGGGAATAGTTTTAGTTCAAATACATAAGCTTCGACAACTGTTCTGGTTCCCTTACATCTGCATCATCACTCTGACATTTTTTTTAATAGGTACTTCAGAATGTCTGGGCTTTACACTCTGCTATAAGCATGAGAAATTGCGGTTTCGGCATCACCATTATTTTTTAGCAATTTCACAAGTCTGGAATCAGAAGCAGAACTTCTATCAAAAATTAAGCAGAGAAGTAATTTTCTAAGTAACTAAAGTTCCAGGATATAAGGAGTAACAGGCATGCAAATATCAAAATGAAACATCTAAATTATCAGCACAGAAACGAATTTTAAATTTTGGATGGAACAATCATGTTTTAGAAAACTGAATTTTGTACAGCAAACATTCTGATGTTTTTCCTGTATTTTCACCTACCTAGTGTGATTACTCAATAAATATCTCATAAAATGAGGACAAAGGCGCACACACACATGAAGAAAGAATCCACCTGGATCAATGTTATCTGTTGTGCTGGATCACAATAAAATATTATTCCATTAAGAAGAGATTTACCTCAAGGAAGTAATTCATTTAAACTTCAATTCTGTGGAGAAATCAGTGGTTTGACTGGAAATCACTGCCCAAAGCCAATTAACTGAATTCTTTTCAAACAGTATTTAAGTGACAAGGAGGCAATGAATTCTAAAGTAAAAATTAGCATTTTGTAAATAAAATCTAGACTCATTTGTATTTATTTCCCAGCAGTGCAATTTCACTCAGTGAATCAAGTTATGACAGACTTAATAGAAGTCCCAGAGTTATGAAATTGTAGCTGTCTAGTTCTTTACCGGGACACTTGATATTTTGACTCTCTCACTGGTCAAGCTCTACCACTTCACTGATCAGCTTGAACAATAAATACAGATGATGAGCCAAATTATTAAAAATACCCAAAACATGCTGCAAAAACATATCCAATACCTGATTTCTTGGCTGCACTTTGCACTCCTCCAGCACTGGGGCTCCCAGGAGAGCCAGTCTTCTTGCTCAAAAGACTGTTAAAGAAACTAGCCAAGACACCTTCACTTGCAGCATTATCTAAATAACAAATAAATCACATACAGTTATTACTGACAAATCACAGAATTAGATTTTTTTTTTAATATACATATATAATTCTCACCAATCAAGGCAATAAACCTCAAATATTGCTGCAAATATCAGACAGCCCTTCCCTTACTCGTTCCCTTTTGTAATAAATTAGTTCTTTGTTTCGTTCAGTAAAGGCAGAGGAAAGCATATTATTGCTTTCCTGAGACTGGAGACACCATTTCAATTTAAACAGGTTTTTGTTGCTTAAGTTACATGGAGTTTAATGTCCACTCTAATAATCCAATTTATGCATAATCAGTGTGTTTAGGCAATTTAAGGAATTAATCTGGTTTCTTAGTAATTTAAAGAATTAATCTGGTTTAGGCAATTTAAGGAATTAATCTGATTTCTTAATAATAGCAGAAAATCAAGTTTGCAGCTAAGGATTCAAGTCTGCAGCAGGATAGTGACCTGCTATTAAACTAATTAGTGAATATACTTCAGGATCTTTTTATACATAAGGAATTTTAAAAGGAAATAACACATGATAAAAATATTACAAATGCTAATTCATACTTTTAATATTTGGATCCGGTTTCTTAACTGATGTTATTGGTGAGGCACTAGGTACATTGGTGGGACCAGCTCTGCCTTGAGTTCTTGGGGATCCTGCTGGTCCTCTTGCAGGAGATTCCTTAAGCAAAATAAACAAGTTAGGTCAAATCACACAATCAGTGAACAACTAAAATAAATAAATAATTTAAAGTAAATATTAAATTATTAAAATTAATTAATTACATAAAATAAATGTAACATTAAATACATTTTTTTTTTTTCAATCTTTATATTGGTACTGCATTGTAAATGCACACTGGCAAAAAGAAGGCAAAACAGAACAAAAGTTCTGTTGAACAAGCTGAATTTGGGCATGGGCCTCTACATTAAGTGAGAAGATAAAGCATTATAGAAGATTTTCAGTGGCTTTAAAATGCTGCCATATAATGTTGAATTTTCTGTGTCTTAGACAGGGTATGTATTTCATTTGCAAATTTAATCTCTAGAAATTAGAATCTTTAACTATTCATCAGAAAATGCTTTTAATTCAGGAAAATAAAGGGCTTTTTTCAATAACCAAAACTCCTACTCTTCTCAGGAATTTACTTACTGATGCTCTTGTAGGCGTTGCTGGCTGCTTGGCAAGGAATGACTGCAAAAACAACACATTAAGGATTTAAAATACAGATTTTTTTTTTTATTTAAAATAGGAAAACTAAAAGAATAAAATACAGTGAAGTTAACTGACCATTAATTAATCATTTATTTTCTGATATTAATAGACTTTCTCTCCAGTATTTAGAGATGTCTATACTTCATTGTCAGACAAGGTTAAAATGAATAAGCTTCAGTCCTTTGTCTTACCCAGACCTTTCAGAACCACAGATATCCGAGTCTGAATCCTCTATGATATCTACAATCAATAAACTCTATAAATAATCTTTAGTAAAGAAAACAACAAGATTTAGTATTGCCAAATTTAGCACCTCAAAGTCTTTCAATGTCTCTGTTAGAAAACTGCAGTGCTAAGATGTTTTTAAAGTATTTTTACTTTGCACAGCAACACGTCTATGCTTCAAAAATTTCAAAAGCTTTGTTTGTTCTTCTGCTTTGAAATGTAAATGTTTTCTGCTTTCAACATTTTTTTCTTCCGGCCCACTAAGTGGCCATATTTTCTACCTCTGTGCATTAAAAGTCTTATTTCACAAATACATCTTAATTTGCAAAACTGTACAGTGCATGTCTAGTGAAGTGAGGGAAAACAGGGCAATAGGAATGGGGAGCTAAAAGTGACATCTCATTTAGTAAGGACTTTCTTACCTGTTGCTTCATAAGAAATACTTGTTCATCTTCTGCCGCCAACTCTTTATCATGGACTAACTGTTGAACAACACATTTTCTCATTAGAAATAGACACCGAGTTGTTTCTACGGTTCAGTCATCAAAAGGAAAGAAAAAGGCTACTGTTTTAAAACTGTTCCTTATGCTACTATAGCCAGTCATTCAAACAAACTGACTTGATTTGTAGGCTGGGAATGGTCAGAAAGGACAGGGAATGGAGGGGACAACAGCTGACCTCATACCTTTCTTACAGGAGGTTTTACAATGAAGTCCTCATACGCATCTTCTGGTTTCACTGTTGTGAAGTTTTCATGTAAAATGGCAATTTTCTTTTCATTGTCCCAACCAGCAGGTCTATATACAAATTTGAAAGAAAGTTTGGCCTTTCCAATCACAGAAGAAATATTTCAACAAAGGTCATTAAACGCTGTCATAATCCTCAGCTAAACTCAAAAGATATAAAAAATGGTATGGTATATTCTGGGTCAAGTAACCCAATAAATACGCATCTTTTTTTTTTTAAGCCTGGATTTCAGGAGACTCACATAGCAAGCTTCTCAATGACACAAATCATTCAAGTTCACTTTTTTATCAGACCCAGACAGTATGCTCTAGATTTGTTTTTTTTTTTTACTTTTTTTAACAGATGGAAGTCAAGTTACAGCATTTCATATCCAATTTACAGCTTAAGAATATAACACAATAAGAATGCACTGAAGTAGTAACTTCATAATGCTTGTAGGAAGGGCAATGTTTCAATAGAAAACAATTTGAAAAAAAATCTTTTTTATAACTGACTTACATAAAAACCGCATCTTTTTCTACCACTAAGGCAGGTGTGGTAAACTGAAAACCGTATGTTTTATGTACAATGTACTTATACAACAGGTCAAGATTCTTTTCCTCTTTAACTGATGTATAAATCAAGGCAGCTCCATCTGATTGTTCATTTAAGGAAAACTATGTAATATAGTTTTTTTTTTTTCCCTGAGTGATGGTAAAAATTTTAAAAACAGAGCTAAAGATCACATATCAAAAAGCTCTACTTTTAGGCAGTAAATCAAGATGAAAACTCGAGTTATGCTTTTGAGTGGGGCTAATTTCCTTTCCCTAGCTGTACAGGGAAGGAAAATAACGTGAGAAGACTCACACTGCTTTCATGTAACACATATGAAAATGTACCTTCCTTCTAGGAATGTCATCTCCTTAATCTCGTGTGGGTTTCAAGCATAAACTGCAGCTTTTGGGTTTAAAAAACAGAACAAAATGAAGCCTGCATTCGCATACCCTTAAGAAATGCAATACAAATCCTTTTTAGAAAAGACAAAATCTCAAAATCCTACACGATTTAAAAATTAACAGAAGTTCTACAAATCTTGAAACTACAAATGCAACACAGCAAATTACTAAACAGCAAGCAACACTTCAGTACAATTTCTCAGGGTAACTCTATATGCAGCTCTATACTAAAACATATTCCTGTGCTTCTTTATTTCAGTAACTCTTTTCAGAGCAGGAAAGGATACACTGTAAGCAAAATCGACGAATATGTGACTGAATGAAGTCAAAGTGTTCTTCTCGGTAATCATGCTCCTTCTCTAGTACACTCACTGCATCACACTGTAAGGAGGAAGAACAAAACCAAGGCAGCTACTTAACCCCAGCACATTTCAATAGATTTTCCTTAATATCACATGCACACACATTTACTTTAAGCTTTTAAGATGATACCAATAAATGAAAATATAAAGCAGTTAGCATGAAACAATGCTTCAGATAATACCCTTCAAAACTAAAAATTGACATTGATGGCAAAAGCCTACTTTTAAAAGAAAACCCCTTATTACTAATCAAGACTTCCATCCTTTTGTCCATATAGAGCATATCTTATAACAGTAATTTTTTTTTTTCATAATAGCAAACAAAATTAGAAGCTCACTTTTGTACAAACTACCAGCACAGGAATACCAAGGTTGTGGGTCAGCACATTTTCTCCAAGTGGCAAAGAAACACTCTCATCCTCTTGACCAGAAGAGGGGCCTCTTCTCTGCGGTGATCCTTGGTAGCTTTCTTCAGGTTCTACATATTCTTGAAACTCTTTTATAACTATGAAGAGAGAGATTTTCATCAGGCAGGCAAACTGTTGTTCTTTTTTTTCTCCTCTTTAAAATCATAATTAATTTGAATAATTGTACCTATGACTAACTATAAAACTCTCTTTTTTTAAGTGAGGCACTACTGAAAAAACAGACCGGGCTGCAAACTACTATTTTATTTTATTTTATTTTTCCAGTTGAAAGTTGCAGACCAGATCTATCTTCTAGCAGAGGGGCCTGCTCCCAGGTGCCCTGTTTCCTGGGGACTCTCCTGTGTCATGTCTATCTCATCGAAAGTCTCCTCCTCTCTCAGCCAGGTGCAGCCCTCGGAGGAAAGTGGGAAGCACCACAATTTGTTCCCACAAAGGCATCTGTATTTTAGAAACAGTCACAGAAGTAGCAGACTGTGTGAACAGAGAGCGGAACTCTTCAAAGAAGCTCTGAACATTCAAGCCTTTCAAGAAGACTCCGCTGTGCAGTCGATCCACCCATGTGAGGGGGAAGGAACTGCTGCTGCACCGCAGCAGATGCTGCTGACGCTTAGGAACTGGTAAAAACCTTGGGAAAAGTTTGTAACTTAGAGCTTGCAAAAGGGCCAAGTCACTGTCTCCTTTCAAAACATAAAACATTTCAGTGATAGAATAGGGATATGAAGGAAAGAACACATCCAAAAAACAATTCTTCTGCTCAAAGTTGCACAATCTCCAATTTTCACTACATATAGGAAATAGAGTGAGTGAGTCTTGTGGAAGACAAGGGAGCTCTAATCCAGAAAAAGACTTAAAAAAAAAAAAAAGCTTAAGTCACCAATTCAGTATCTCCAAAGAAACAATGAAACAAACAATATCCAAACGCAGTTACCTAAAAGTGGAGATGCAGTGCCTTCTGGTGGAGACCCTTTCAGAATATTTAAAAAACATGCTTTTTTCTAATACTGTTTCAAATTCAGCAACTGGAAGTTTAAATTATATTCCACATGCTGCATATCTAAAAGTTGTATTAACTGTCTCAAGAAAAAACAGTTAATCCCACAATACTTAACTAGAAAATACTTTTATTTTCTAAAATACACTCTCTTCTTAAATATGTTTAAATTTCTTTGCTTGAGAAGGAAATATAAATAAAACACTGCACACAAGCCAGAAAAAAATGCCTAGTCATCTAAAGAGAAGCAGCTAATACCTGCTTCTCTTTAATACTCACCTACCATTAACACCAAGGGTACTAAGAATGGCCTATTACATTTAAAATTTGATAATATGCTATAAAGAAAAAATTTGATTTAAAGAGTCCTAATTTATCTATAAAATTTGTCATATCTGCATAGAAGTCCTTCATTTATATTTAATGGATGAGTATTTTTGCATTTGACACAGCAAGTAAATGGAAGTTTACTATCAATTGTCTTCTTCTCATGCACTGCTCATTTCCACAGAGCTACTGAAAACCAACTACAAGAACAGGTATCACGCATGTCACACCAGCAAGTGACTTGTAAAGAAGTACCAACCACGAAAACAATTCAATTATTCTTAGGTTTGATTGTTCTAGATGCAATAACACCCCCAATCTGTTTATCACTATTTCAGCTCTGAATAGACCAAAAGAAATTAATACAACTACTTCACCAGCATGCTTCATTTCTACATTTCATGACTTTTGATATCTTTTTCTGCTCTGCTATGGATGCAAATTTTAAAAAAAGTAATTTTTAAATACAGACTTTCTTTGTAATAATTCAGGATGTGTCTATTTTAAACAATGACTTGTTTGATTTTTCATCTGAACTGTCAGAACATTTGACATTATTTAAATCCACACTAGTAAAGTTTTTAAGCAAGGAACATCCACAGTTCCAAAAATTATACATAAGCAGTTCAGCAATAGGCATCAGTGCAGACAATGTTCTTGGTATATTCTGAATGATCCAATTTTTTTCAAAGCAGCCTGTTGCTTCCATGTATGTGTCCTGCCCCTCCATTCTGGAAGCAGTTCATCGCAAAGGGAAAATTCCTCATACCCCAGATGGAGTTTAGCATCATCCACCCAGTAAAGTCAAGAGTCAGTATCTCAAAAGGCAAACACAGAACAAAAGGCTGGGTGGAGAAAGGCCACAAAAAACTTGAAGGCTAAAATCTAAAGTCTAAAGTCCAGCTCAGTAGAAAGCACAGAGTTAACAAAAGGACTCCTGGAAACTGGCGGTAGGATCCTAGAAAGTGAGAAAAAACAACCTAGCAGGTAATATGAGAAAGATTCTTCTAATTAACAATTATACTAGGAATTACTTTTGGAACAATTAAGCTGTTAAGAAAATTACAAACTGTGATGGCCAAAGTTTTGAGAACAGATTTTACCTGATGCATAGTCTGGACGCAAGAACATAAGAGATATGTATCAGAGATGACACAAGTCTCCTACACAGTGAGAGCAGATGTGGGAAGCTTGTGAACAGAAACAGCCCTGTTTTACCTGCATCATGCTGGGCTTAAGTTCACTGCTCAACCATAGGATGGCAGCACAGCCCTACAGTCCTTCAATTCTATTAAAGTGCAAGAGAAATTAGTAACCTCTAAGACACTTTAATTTATAAATCTCTATGATAATACTACTCAAATGTCTTCTAGGTTCCCCAAACATAGTGCTGAAGTGCTGCCATAACTGTAACTGGCTTGTCCATGCTATACTCTTAGTGAAACCAAGAACACTTCTTTTTTGAAAAGTCAACCTCAAGTGCACAAAAAAAAACCCTCTGTATTTATTTCGATTGCCATAAATTTTGGTATGTCTCAGCAAAATACAAATCTGTGTTGTCATTTTTTGAGACTAGAAGTAGCTAAGTGCAGCCTTTCTATCCTCCCTTATTATCCTAGTGACTGCTGCTCCCCACCAATTCTCTTTTATGAACTGCCAGATTTTAACTTTTTTTTTTTTTTTAAACCAATATCTGACTATCAAATTCCCAAAAGTTTCAGTCCTTAAGACTGAACTCCAACTAGTGTGCTGTAAGCACCACCCTTTTGGGAAGCAATATATAACATTCAGAAAACAAATTAGCTATAAAGATACATCTGAATGTTTACATGCCAAACAGATTACAGCACTCCCTAAAGCGTTTCCAAGGAAGCTACTAGACAGTGTTTATAAGGTTTAGACACTCCAATACAGCCAGCCACCAGCCATGAACAAAAGCAGCACTTGGCCAGGATCAGCCTAAATCTACACCTCAGCTGAAAAGGAATGCATGTTGCTAAGATCTTTTCCACTGAAGGAATTTATTTTGGAGTAATTCACTATGAATAAAAATAAAGAATTACAAACAAAAAGAACCAAAGTTCCAGGAGACAATCCTGCAATGGTAATGGCTTGTCAGTGCCAGTTTCTTTCCTGCCACGGATATACCAGGAAAGAAGATTAATTTATACAACATTCCTCAAGTCATAGGGGAGGAATAGCTATACTGAGAGACAATTAGACATACCAGGATCATGATCTGAGCCTTACAGGAAATATTCTCTCACAGGAAAATGTTTTTCTATGGATTTTTGTCATTATTTTAAAACTATGATTCTCTACCAAATTAGCTTTTTAAGAACTGGCCTTTCCTTAAAAAAAAAAAAATCAAGTTAAATAACGAAGGTCTCATTATTGCAAGAAACTCAGATGATTAATTCACCTCAAATGTTGTTAGCACGGCAAAAATGGAAGAGTTCTTTTAAAGCCTAAAAAGTCTATTTGAATTAGAGTTCTAATCACAAATGCAAAGTAACTTTTAGTCAACTTATTCTCAAAATTCAAATTTAATATTACAAAAGAGGTTTGGGAAAAAGAATGGTTTAGAAAATACTCTAAAGATTCAAGAATCAGTAGAAAAGGAAAAGAATATGGGGATACATGAAGACTTACACTTCTGTTCCATGTCCCTCATCTCTTCTGGAGGAATTTTCAGCTTATCAATATGTTCTTGCAAGACACTGGCCCACTTCTGTAAAGACTCCATAACAGTCCAAGGTCTAGACATATCCGCAACAAAGACTACAATGGTGTCTTGCAGGGATTCTGCAGAAACCGCAAACTTCAACAGCCCTTTATGATATAGGTCTCCATCAAGAATCCAAACGTTACAGCGAGTGTGATCTGAAAAGAAAAGCCACGGTTGTAACACCAAAGATGTTTGCTCTTTGCTTTGCTAGTCTGTGAATAAATAGAAGAACATGTTACAGTGTTAAATGGAAGATTAGAGTCTGGCTATCAGCAGCTCTTGCCTGTTTGCTTCTAGCACAGGTGTACATGTAAATGCCAAATTACTTTGTAGGTGCCTCCATTCAACAACATTTCTCTCAGTTGAGCATCTTTTAGTTTAAAAGATAACACCTCTCTTTCGGGTTTTACTAAGGAAAGCTAGCATGATGCTTTTGAGATATCACATAGTCTTGGTGAATTTAAAACATGCACATTCTAAGTAAACCACGGATATATGTTACACGTACATAACTCGACGTTCAAGAGAAGATTGTTACAGCTGAACCTAGCAGGGAAGCTGTAGGTGTCACACAGACACATAAGCTGTCTTACCATACTGAAGACATCTCACAACAGAAGTAATCCACAAACAAGATATAAGTAATAAGCAGCTTAGGTATCTGGGACAGGAGTAGGAGGAGTAAACATAGGATAAAATTACAACCTACCAAACTTACTAGCTGTGCTTTAAGCTGTTCTATCTGCTCTTAAGTCATGCTGATTTAACATTGGTTTCTACTCATAGCTTTTCAGAAAACAAATACTGTGCAGAAGATTTTGTGTTTTAGCTTTTGTGTTTCTTACTCCATTGTTTCAATAGTGAGTGGAAAGGTTTTGTTGAAAAACAACAATAAAAATAATACATCCAGGATAGAGAGTCGACATGAAAAAAAATTATCCCAAACATGAATTTCAATTTTGAACATGGGGCATCAACAAGTCTCCACATGTTTTAAATATATAAAGATAGGTGAATTTTGAAATATATGCACTAGATCAGCAAACCAGTCACGTTTGCTGTAACTAAAAGGTTACGCGTGTTTTGTTTCCTATGTATCTGCATCTTTTTTAAGGGTTGTGTTTCTATTTAACATCTAGATTATGGAGACTGAAACTACTATTAGCTAGATTAAATGAGTCTGCCAGGAAGAATGTACACAATGTCCACATAGATATGGGGCTTAATTTCTTAAGGGTAACATGGCATGAAAACAAAGGTTTTCTTCCTGTCTAACAGTAAAAGGAAAACCACCAGGTATGGTCTGTGATTTTCAATTACCATGAATTTAAAAAAACGCACTTAGAAATAGAGTGGTGTTTGTTTACATTTTTGGCAAGGACTTGATGGGAAATTCAACTTTGCCAGCACCCCATCAAGTTTCCAGTTGGTCATATGATGTGAATGTTAACTCTACTTTTTATAGCAGCTATGACATGAGGTGATAAAACAGTGCAAACAATTATCACATTCTGCTGAAAAACTGGTGCTACATATTAAAGTCTACTACAATAACTGATAAATTGCCATTTTTAAATTCTGTCAAAATTTCGTTATTCCTTTAGCCATGGAAATTGTTTTCCACATTCGAGGAACATTACTGTAGCTAGTTGATTCTGTAAACTGCAACTACATATCCAGTACTTATTCAAAATTTTAACAGAGTTAATGAGCTGTATTTGAAACAAATATCCTTAATTCAAGCTATGAAAACAAGCAGAAGAGAGAAAACTCTTCTTTCAAGAAACCAAGTTGCCCATTAGAAATCACTGTAGCAGCACCACTTGGTTCAGGCAGGAACAACCAGTTCAACTGGAATATGCACATAAGGACAGTCCAAACCTAAAGTGGGGAAAAAAAAAAAAAAAAAAAAAAAAAAAAAAGCCTATTCGATTTATTTTAAACAGTAACAGGATAACAATGGTTCTACTTCACTTGCACACTTGGCATAGTCATAGGCAACTGTACTGCATCTGTGATCCGATGCAGTTCAACTGAAAATTCCCTGTGGTGTTTATAATTGTCTGCTAACCTACAGAGCACTCTGCAAAACGAGTCACATACCAGTCACTGGAGTATGTCTCATTGTCCTGCTGCACACCCTCCCTTCAACCCCACAACTGCAAGAGATTCCGAAGCCTACACTTCAAGGACAGGTCTCATCATGCAGACCATTTCTTCCACATCCTATGCAGCAAGACTCTCAGCTCTCAAAAGCTGACTATCCAGTACTGCTACCAAACATCTGTTCATCACAAAGAATGGCAAAAAATTAAATCTTGCTCCCTGGAAAATTTCACTAACATAGGATTCTGGCGCCTGAGCTTCAAGGTCACTTAGTAGTAGGAGTTAAATTTACAGCTAGTGCTATAAATGCTTTCATTCAGATGAGCTAAAGTATCATGTATGTAGAAGCAGCCATCTGCTCCAAGGATAATGTACCTGAGATTAATGATCTAGGAGAATCCCATCTCTGTCTTTCTCTCTCTCAAGATAGCTTGTCAGGCAGCTCCAAATATCTTCTTGAACAAATGTCTTAGCCCAGGCAGAATTTGGGATAATACCCTGAGGAATGCAATTTTTCAGGTATAGACTCAATAGTGGACTTATTCTAAGACCTAGGGACCAAAGCAATGAATGTTACATTGAATGGCTCAAGTCTGACAGAAACAGATATGAGCCAGCCAATTAGCAAGTTAATGGTTACATAGGTACCCTTTCATCCAAGCTACATACAAGCCACTGTCAAGAGGCAGATGACAGTGAAACAGATAACAGTGAAAAAGAGTTATAGGGCACATGTACTAGAAAAAAATACGTGTTTTTTTAAGTAGCTATTTATTTGCTTAATTTTCCTATAATAGTTAAGAAAGGTTCACCCTTACAGGGGTAAAACAGTAAAACAAGAATTAGGGTGAATTAAATTATGTGAATTACGTTATGTATTCTTCTTTTATACAGCAATCTAGAGTAACTCTACCTTAAATGTAGGAAAGGAAGAGACATGGGAAGATCATGGGAAGGAGACTGGGGAGACTACGGAGGAAATAGCAGCAAGACAGGGATGATTCCCCTTAAGATTTTCATGGGAAGGCAGATAGTGACTCAGCACTAGGGCCAAATACATTTTATGAAAAAAAAATAAACTGTTCTAAAATGTAAAGGAAAAAAATAAAATTGCAAAGAATGCTTCTAGCATCAGGGAATGAAGACGACAACCTTCGTACTCCACTATAGAGTTTCAGCCACCAGTGTTAATTTCAAGTAAAAGTGCTACTGAGCTCCTGAGGCTCACTTAATGGCTTCTGACAATCACAGGTCAGTTGAAAAGCTTTGTTCACAAATGTGCACCTGGGCATACACAGATATAAAGTATGCAAAGTTGTTCATTTATTGTTTGTTTGTTTTTTAAGAGTTAAAAGAAAAAAAGAGTTCTTAAGAATGATGGGTGTTTTCTTTGCTGCTGGAAGGTTCTGACCCACTTTGCTATTTACTTTGCTTACTGATGACACTAATAAGACAGAAGGGGAAAGGCAGGTATTATTAGCTCCCACCCCGCCCATTAAAGGGACGCATGAAGATCTGAATTTTCAAGCCGAGTTTGCTACTCAAAAAAGTCTCCTTTCTCTGCCAGAGTTCTTACAACAAGTTTCTCCTAACCACTTCAAGTACTTAACACTTTCACATATTTAGAAATAGTCTTCAAATATTTCTAAAGCAGGGAGATACCTGAAGTTTGATAGCATCAGGAAGAATGTCACACCAAACATTTGTCTGCTTACAATACCAGCTCCTTTGGTACTGCAAAAAGGCTGATGTCACAGGCTGTTTTGGAACCCGTAACAGCAGCTTTCACTGAAGTATTTATGCAGCACTGAGGAAGACTGTCCATGGTGAGAAAGCACCTGCACTAAGAACCTCAAGAAGCCAAGAATGAACTCAGCACTGAAAAATCCAACACAGAAGCTTTTCTCAGAATGGCTAGGTTAGATGGCCACTGAAGAAACAAGCAATGTACTCATCATTCAGTGGTGCCTACCTTAGCATCCAAAGATAGTTGACTATCATGTGAGTACAGGACCAATCTCCGTAACAACCAGCAACATTCGCTACTTAATCACCCTTGCAAGCCTGCAGTACATTTCCATTGCTGAAACACTGTTACAGGAGTCCACCTATATTCAAACACCGGGACAAACCGCCTTCATTGCTTCCTGCTTCTGAGATGACAACTCAGAAGGTGACCAGCTGCATCACACACACACACATACCCCTTGCAGTACGTCCAAAGCTGATTTACAAGCAAGGACAACTAGTTCATGCCCCACCTCTTCATGTCTAGAGGAACATTCCTAACGATGATCAGATCCCTGCTGCTCCCCTGCTGTAAACAGTGTCTTGCCCCTCACATATTGGGTGGCGGCATGTAACCAAAACAAAGAGAAAGATGGGGCACAATGAGAAATTTCTCAAGTTTGATGAAAGAAAATACTGATTCTGTCAGTCTTAAGCTCTGCTCTTCACTCATACAGCTATGAGTAATATACTGTCTCAGTTATACACAGCAAACATAACTTTTAGGTAAGCTCCTGCAATAAATCTCTAAAAGACCCAAACCCTGAAATCTGTACTTAAAATTAAGTCCTCATGGATGTGTCACTCTATAGCTCTACGTATTTGGACTGGATGGCAATTAATCTGATAGTTACTCAACATCAGCAAAAATACCTGTCCTGAAAAGAAATGGATCCTGAGGGAGCTGCTCGAGTGCTGTCTCCTCCTACACAGGTCAAGCTGTGAGAAGGGCAATAGGAAGAGAACGCTCTGAGAGTAAAATGCATTTCACTTTTAAGAAACTGATATCCCTCATAAAGCATAAACAGAAAGCCAATTTGGAACCAGCTACACAGATATAATCCCAAATACAATTTAAAAATAAAGAAGGAAAAAAAAAAGAATATCATCTACTTAATTACAGCAGAAAGATTACATATAAAATGTAACTTACCATCTCTGTCTTCATCATGAATATTTAGATATAAATATTCCAGCCCTCTTCCCTTCTTGCCGTGTTCTGCTCCCTGTATTTTAGCCATAAGTGTGGTTTTACCTGAACCATCATCACCTGCCAGTAAGTTTTCACAGGAAAAAAAGACACATTCAGAATCAATTTTACTTTTGTAGAAGTTTTTGAAAGGTGCTTACTAAATTTATTCTTGTCTATTTCTGAACTATAATTATTTGTTACTTTCCAGATGTATCTGATAGTTCATACCAAGACAGACATAAAGAAGCACTCCATTGTTACGTTCCATTTGTCTAAACTATATTAAGAATCTAATAGAAGCATAAACCAGAAAGTAGATCTGCCAGCCTCAAGACAGGAATACCATATCCTTTATTATATAACTTAATTTTAACAAATGGATTCATCAATTGGTTCACATTGTTTATAACTAAGAAAAAGCAAAAGAATACATATAATCCAGATCAAGATGTGATAAAAAATATTTTTTTCATACAGTCTGATCAAAAAGCATATAACAACTGCACATGGCTTTTGTATTTTTGTTGTTCAGGCAAAACAGCAACCTTTCTGTAATCTAAAGTGATCTCAAAAGTATGTATTTTATGTTCTAATTCACACAAAAACAGCAGAAAGGAATGTCTGAATATCCCAAAGACAAATCATTAAGAAACATATGGTCTGCTGCTGTGCAAGAAAGTTCACCTTTTAAATCAATAAAAATAAATCACACCTACATGAAAGTGTGGAATAGTATCAGAATCTGCAGATGCACAGAAGTAATTAATTTTTTAAAAAACTGATCTTAATGCCAGTTATGCAAACAATACTCGAATCATTTAGTTGATTATTTTGGTTCATCTTGTAGTTGCACAGCTATGCTGATATGTAACAGTTAAATGAGCAACCATCTAGACTTTTAAACAAGATAAACTTTCTCCACTACTTAGGTTAATAGCTAAGCTATCTTATTTTAAACACATATATGTATTCAGCCTCTACAAAAACAATAAACAACCCTACTGCCTGTGTATGCTACTTACCAAAAACAAGAATATTTTTGCCCGATGGCAGCTTAGACCTCGAGCGGGTGGACACTTCGCTGAGGATGGAGGACCTGGAAAGGAGCAGCTGTTAGCAGGCTGGCTGCGAGACGGGCGTGCGTGGGGCCCGGACACTGCTCAGTCAACAGCACCAGGACCTGGGCCTGGACCATCCCGAGCGCATCCTTCCCCACGAAGGAGACGCGAGGCTCTGGCTGGGGACTCCAGGAGGTTTTCCAGAACCACATCCTGGAAGGGAACCATGGCAGAGGGAAGTTCCTGCAGCATGGGGAGAGGCTCAGGTAATACTGCTTTCTGAAACTTCCCTCCCTTCATAAGGAGCAGCATCGCCAGGAAGGAAACCTGACTTTTCAACTGATGACTAAGTCTTCCCACAATCCACTACTGCCTCTTGTAAACACGTTTTTCTCTCGTTATCATTAAAAAAAAAAAAAAAAAAAAAAAAAAAAAAAAAAAAAAAAAAAAAGGCAAATACAGAATAAAAAGGGGCCACTGGCAGATAAGCAGCTGCCGCTCAGACAGGGGGGCTCCGGACCCTGCCGCGCGCTTCCTCCGCATCGTGAGCCAGGCCCGCAGGCTCTGCCCCGCCTCGGCCGGGCCCCGCGCCGGCCGCGCCGGCACCAGCAGCGGCCTCAGCGCCGGTCCGCGCT